ATTTATTGTAGAGATGAGGTCTCGCTGCCCAGGTGGATCTTGAACCCACGGGCTCAGGCAATCCACTCGCCTCAGCCTCCCAAAGGCACGGGATTGCAGGCTGAGCCACCAAGCCCAGCTCAAAAACTTAAGTTTTAAAAATTTTTCTAATATGGTCCTTTCAAGTGCTTTCTGAGCATGGACCGATCACGGAATATAAGGATTACAATTAATTTTTCTTATAATTTTGCACTACCTCCTGAAGTCACTAAGACGGTTTTGGGTATTTCATGGGTAAACTTGGGGTCTATAATCTTAGTATCTGGCCCCAGATTTAGAGAGTAATATAAATTGCATTTCACCAGTGAGCATCCATGAGGCAAACCATAAGAAAAGTGTTTTGTGATTATGGTGACACAATCTACTTACATCATCAAATACCTATCTCTTTGAGTCATTTTTCTGTGTGTGTGTATGTGTGTATGTGTGTGTGTGTTTTGCATTGGAGTCTCACTCTGTCCCCAGACTGGAGTGCAGTGGCACACTCACAGCCACTGCAGCCTTGACCTGTTGGGCTCAAGCGATTCTTCCACCTCAGCCTTTCAAGTAGCTGGAACTATAGGCATGTACCACCGCGCCTGGCTAATTTTTTTGATTTATTGTAGAGATGAGATCTTGCCAAGTTGCCCAGACTGGTATCAAACCCCGAAGCTCAGGCGATTCTTTCACCTCTACCTCCCAGAGTGCTGGGATTTATAGGCATGAGCCACTGCACCCAGTGTGTTTTTTTTTGTATTCTTAAGAAGTTGTGTCTAAACAATGAAAAAAAAAATCTGTGACTAATCTCTGGGAAACCCAAGTTGCTCGTGTATACCTTTTAAGAAACCTTTTTTTGTTCTTCCTCAAGAAAAGGTAGTTTTTTCAGAAGGAAAGAAGACAGGTGGTTTCCCCGAAGATAGCCATACTTGACCCACTTGTGGCATGGCAGGTATCCCAGGCCCTACATGCTCCTGGCTGGTGGATTCCACCAACCTCCACTCCTCCAGGGCTGTTGGTGTTGTCTCACCACTGCTGACCCTTCTTCCGGTTTGGGTGCTGCTGTCCTGTCCCATTAGCAGCTCCAATATAAGAAATGTTTAGAAAGTTATTTTTCTGTTTTTCTATCAGTTTTGTTGGCCCCTCTTCTGACTTCTTATCTGCTCCCCCCCCCCCATTTTATGTATTGCTTTTTTTAGAGACGAGGACTCACTCTGTTGCCCACGGTGGTCTCGATCTCCTGGGCTCAAGCAATCCTCCCACCTTGGCCTCCCAAAGGGCTGAGATTATAGGCGTGAGCCACTGTGCCAGCTTCAGCTTTTCTAAATTGGCAGTTTGCCGTCCAGTCCTTGGTTGCCCAGCCTTTTAGGGCAAGATAGTTCCACCCTTTATCCCTCCAGTTACAAAACGAGAACAAGACATTTCTGACTTTTGTATTTTGCTGCTATCTTCAAAAGACTAATTTTTTTTTTAGCAAAGTTCATATTTGTCCTAAAAACTGTTAAAACATATACTGACTCATAAATAAATTCCATGGGCTTAATTAAAATTGGTTAAGGAAAATGAAAACAACTTAGATAACAGAAAAAAGGCATTTATATCATGTTGGTCACAACATAGTATGAGAGTTTTGCGACAGCTTAAAGGCTCTTTTAAAAGCCTTTAAAAATGTGCCATGCTGTCTAATTTTTAAACTGGATATGAATATTCCTTTGAGATGGATGAAACAGATATTATCATCAGTGTTTTTTACACCAGCGGCCTGTGGACTGTCGGCACCACCTGGGACCTTGCTAAAAATGCAGATTCTCGGGTCCCATCCCAGACTTTCTGAATCAGAAACCCTGGGGCTTGGATCCTGGGACCTCTTTTAAAATGCTCTCCAGGCAATTTTTATGCACATTAAAGTTTGCCAAATATTAGTTGACATATAAAAGCACTATGACTCATAGAAGCAAAACTATATGTTTAATGTGGAAGGCTACAAAGTCAAAAACCTAAGTCTTCAAGCTTCTGGTTAGAGTTTGTTTTTCCCTCCATAGAGAAAAAGTAACCTATTTATAAAAGTAAGACAAAAATTAGGAAGAATGTTGAGTAGTATTAGTAGACTCGCAGTAATAAGAGCTGAATAGACTGTAGAAAGAAATGATGGGTGTGTATTTGTAAAATGACTTAATCGTGTAGCTCTAATACAGCATTTCTTTTACAGTTTAATTTACCAGCTGGATATGTGGGACTGGTATTCCTGGGTCTGGCACTGTCCTACGCCATTTCTTCACCACTGTTGGGTCTACTAAGTGACAAAAAGCCAGTACGTACGTTTAATTTACATTTGTGTTGCTTTTGTAGATTTAGACCAGTGGTTTTCCAACTGTTCCTCTGGAACTCTAGGGATTTAGAATTGGCACATTCAATTGAACTGTTGAAGAAGTTGCAGTGTTCTCTAATCTCAGCTACCATCCTGGACAGATTCACTTTAAATTGTTCATCTGGGAGAAGAGGAATCTCATACTGAAACTGTTGAAAAATTATTGGATTAGATTTTCTTTTTTCTTTTTTTTTTTTTTGAGTCAGAGCCTCACTCTGTCACCCAGGCTGGAGGGCAGTGGCACACTCCTGGCCACTGCAGCCTCGACCTGCTGGGCTCAGGCGATCCTTCCAAGTATCCAAGCAGATGGAACTACAGGCACATGCCACCACACCTGGCTAATTTTTTTTATTTATTGTAGAGATGAGGTCTCTCCAAGTTGCCCAGGCTGGTCTCAAACCCACGGACTCAGGCAATTCTCTTACCTTGGCCTCCCAAAGTGCTGGAATGATAGACGTGAGCCACCGTGCCCGGCCTCTGGCTTAGACGTTCAAGGAAAAAGCTCCCTTGATGCAAACAAACAAAACAAAAAAGGATTGATCATAATAGTTTGGGCAGAGTCCCAGAAGTAATTATGGGACTTGATCAAATTGAGAGTCTGCTTTAGGAGAAGATAATTTAGGTTTTCCGTGAGAGTAGAGGATTGACCATGTAAATATGCACTGGTTATTTCATAGCCATCCTGACAGAAAGCTCTTTCTGTTCTCTTTTAACTAGGCTTAAACCATCCAGTCCAGATGATTAGTACACAGAATTAGCACCGTTAGCCAAATCTCAAACCTCTGTGATTTTAGTGCTTGCTTTTGCCTTTCCCTTCTTCATTAGATTTGCATATATTTTTATCAAGATCTAATTTCCAGAGGGATTACTTAATAACCCAGGTGATAGAAATCAAGTGTCTAAAGCAGCATTTGGAGCTTGGTTTTTAAGACATAATCTTATATAACTGAGCAGATATTGTACCCTTGCAATTTTTGGCCTAATTCAAGTAATTTATAAAGAATGACTTTACAGCATACAGTCTTTGGTCATTTGGAATGCTATAACAAAATACCAGAAATGGTGTGGCTTATAAACACAGAAATTTATTTCTCATGGTTCTGGAGGTTGAGTCCAAGATGAAGGCAATTAGTAGATTTGGTGTGTGTGAAGGTGCATTCCCTGCTTCGTAGATGGCCATCTTTTCACCATAACCTCACTTTGTGGAAGGGGCAAGGGAGCCCTCTGGGGCCTCTTTCTAAGGGCACGAATCTCATTCATGAGGGCTCCACCTTCAAGACTTCATCACTTTCCAAAGGCCTGCCTCCTAACATCCCATTGAATATTAGGATTTTAACATACGCATTTTGTGGAGACATAAGCATTCAGTCTATAGCAGTTAGGTCTTTTAAATGTGATTTTTCTAAATATTGTAACAACTTGGTGGATTTTTTGTGGATACTGCTTTTAAAATTCTTATATTTGGAATAGCTCTTCACGTGCACACTCTGCAGTACACTCCCTTTCCAAAGCATCCATCTCCTTTGCTCACTCCCTATCTTGTGGTAGATGAGAATATTGTCCGCGCTTTTGCGTTTATCATCTACATATTTTCTCTTAAATGTAAAGTTTCATTTTCCTCATTTTGAAAACTATGACTTATGTTCTTTAATGATGGTTTTATATTGTTTGATCATGGCGGGTCTTTAAGAGTTTCTTCTCTTACCCAGCATCTAAGGAAATGGTTTCTGGTGTTTGGAAACTTCATCACAGCCGGATGTTTCATGCTTTTAGGACCTGTCCCCATTTTGCACATCAAAAGGTGATTTTTTTTCCTCCTTCTGTACTTTTGGCTGAATAGCATTAGGAATTATTTTTTTTTAATTTTACTGTAACGCTGGTGTGGTTTCCTATTTTGATCATTAACATTTAATTACTTTAATTTGGGTCTCTATTGTTTGTTAGATGACAGTATTGTACCTTCCTAGATGTTAGCAGTGATACAAGCAGACGGAAATCCATAAACTCTGTATCAAATGACAAAAATCTTTATTTTCCCTCTGTGCTTCAGTTGCACATTTGTTTGTACTTGATTTTTTAAAATGGCATTTGTTGCTACCCATCTTTAGTTGATTGTTCTTAGAATATATTTTTGTTTTTTCTACTTTTTCTCCTTGTTTCTTGAGGCAAGAATCAAATCTTTTTTCTTTTCTTTTTTTTCTTTGAGTGCAATACCCACAGTCTTGACCTTCTGGACTCCGGTGATCCTTCCCTTCCACCTCAGCCTCCTGAGTAACTGGGATTACAGGCAAATGCCACCATGCCTAGCTTATTTTTTATTTTTTGTAGAGACAAGTTTTTGCTGTGTTGCCTAGGCTGTTCTCGAACTCCTGGGCTCAAGCAATCCTCACACCTCGGCCTCCCTAAGTGCTGAGCCATTGCAGACATCAGCCATCATGCCTGGTCTCACATCTGTTTTTGTATCTGTATCATCATTAGCATGAAGTAGCAGGTCATTAAAGTTTATTTAATGCAATTTATTTGCTCAAAGTGAGCTTCTTAGATCTTTTCAAGTACTTTCTGGGATAAAGCATGATACTATGGAAAGAGAAAGATTTCGAGTCCTTTTGACTTGGCTTTACATTTTGGCTTTGCCACTTACTAGTAGCGTGAATTTGGGCAAATTGCTTAACTTCCAAGAACCTCAGTTTTCTTTTTTTTGAGTCAGAGTCTCACTCTGTCTCCCAGGCTGGAGTGCAGTGGCACGCTCACGGCCTCTGCAGCCTTGACCTACTGGACTCAGGTGATCCTTCCACCTTAGCCTTCCAAGTAGCTGGAACTACAGGCACGTACCACCTATTGTAGAGATGAGGTCTTGCCAAATTACCCAGGCTGGGCTCCAACCCATGAGCTCAGGCAATCCTCTCACCTCGACCTCCCAGAGTGCTAGGATTATAGGCATGAGCCACCCTGCCAGGCCAGAACTTCAGTTTTCTTCTCTCCAGAGTGGACTCCAACTCAAAAAGAAAAGAAAAGATTTTGTCTGGTTACAAAAGGACAGGTTGGTTCTAGACACGTGTGACCAAAAAGATTGAGATACTAGGATGAGTTGGGGTTTTTTGCCCCCAAAATGTGAGGAGCTAAAGGGTGCTCTAACTGGACGAATGTGATCAGGTGGGAACGAGGATGAGACTAGACTCACGATCTGTGCAACTAACTTCTCTGGGATCTTGGTCTCCACAGCCTTATGCTTCGTGCTTCTTAAAATGCTAATATATTTATTGTTTTTAATCTTTGTTTTCTCCAAAATCCTTTTGCAGTCAGCTCTGGCTGCTGGTGCTGCTGTTAGTTATAAATGGCATCTCTTCTGGAATGAGTATAATTCCAACTTTCCCAGAAATTCTCAGCTGTGCATAGTAAGTTACTTCCATTGCTTAAAGAACTGTATCATGAATCACCCTGAGCATCATAGGCATTCTTGAATTTCTTAGTTTTGTAGCATGCTGAGCATTTTTTCCCAATGTTAAATCTCTATGATGTCATGGCATATAATATTGTGATATAAATAGTATAAATGATAATATAATGCCATAATGTAACAGATAATATATGGTAATATTAATACAGTTATAGCTAAAATGGGCTGTGGATAGATTCTTGGCTTATGCCTCAGTACTTCTGAAAAACCAAAGCAAAATGGAAAGACCTTAGCATTATTCCTCCTTCATGGAGGAGGTCCATACAGAAGTGTAGAGCAACCGATGTCTGTCACTGGGCCATCATTCTTTTCTTTAATAGGCATGATGGCAAAGAACACCAAGTACTATGGCTTTGTTGTGTCAGGTCCACAGTTCTCTTAGGAATAAGAGAAACACTGTTTCTTAAAAGTTGCCTGTTATTCTCTTTACTTTTTCAGCTCATTTAAGCATTTCTTAATTATATATTTTTATAAGCATTTAATGCAAATGAATCATGCTTCCTAATATTATATTTTATATGTAGCAAAATTGTTTATAGAAAACCATAGAATAACTGTAGCTATGAAAATTCCTGCAAATTAGACTCACTCTTTATCTTAGAACTGGAATGTTTTTGCTGTTGACTTTGTCCAGATTATACCTGGTTTATCTTAATTTATCTATCACGCAATTTTTTCTTTCACACAGACTTTCCTTTTAATAATGGATGCACTCATGTCTTTCTTTGCAGTGAAAATGGATTTGAAGAGGGATTAAGTACATTGGGACTCGTATCAGGTCTTTTTAGTGCAATGTGGTCAGTTGGGTGAGTATCACTGAATTTCATTCACACTTGCCAAATGAATACCACTGTCTCCATTTTACATATGAAGAAAGTGAGACACCAAGAAGTCAGATGAGTTGTTTTTGTTTTTTGGGTTTTTTTTGAGTTGGAGTCTCACTCTGTTACCCAGACTGGAGTGCAGTGGTCGCTCCCGGCCACTGCAGCCTCAACCTGCTGGGCTCCAGCGATCCTTCCGCCTTCCAAGTAGCTGGAACCACAGGCATGTGCTACCACGCCCAGCTAATTTTTGATTTATTATAGAGATGAAGTTTCGCCAAGTTCCCCAGGCGGGTCTCGAACCCTGCGGGTTCAGGCAATCCACTCACCTCGGCCTCCCAAAGCGCTGGGATTACAGGCTGAGCCACCGAGCCCAGCCCAGATGAGTTTCTTAAAGACAAATAGTTTATCTAGGGCAGAACCGGAGTATAAATTCATATTCTCTGACTCCATAATTAGTAGTTATACTAGTACGGTGAGTCCCCCGCATATGAACCTTCAAGTTGTGAACTTTCAAAGATGCAAACGTTGTTCACATGTCCAGTAAGCTCACGTGTCTGGTTCACATGCAAGTTAGTTCACATGTTTGCTGTATGTTGTCACGAGTGTGCATTCTCTACAAGTTGTTGCGCTTTTGTGTACTTTGCTATACAGTTTTGTATAGAGTGCAGTATCTTTATTTTAAACCTGGGATGTCTGGAAGCAAGCATAAAAGCTGTAGTGATGTAGCTGGTACTGTATAGCCAGTTGTGTTAGTTGGGTACCTAGGCTAATTTTGTTGGATTTACGAACCAATTGGATTCATGAATGCACTCTTGGAAACAGAACTTGTTTGTATGTAAGGGACTTTCTGTAGCTTTAATACTCAACCAAAATGGTCTCATATACTTTATCTTATTTATGTGATATTTATAAGTTCCATTAGCTGAACCATCTTTCGGATTTTTAAAATTTATTTCTTCATTTATATTTTTACCTTTTGTTGTACCTTAAGGATAACTATGTGCTAGCAATATAGATAGTCAATAAATATCTAATTGAATTATATTAAATGCAGATACTAAGAATAGGACAATAGAAAGAATTTGTAACGTGTTTTATCTTTTATTTTTATATAAGCCTCAACTTTTCAGAAGCAGTTATTATCTCACAATTGTTTAAAAATTTTAAACATCATCTTTATCAGGTAGAATTATTTTCTTTTGCCCAATGCTATGCCCAGGAATTGTTTATTATTTTTTTTCTTTAGTCCATATATTCCAAATTAAGGCAGACATACAATAGAGGGATCATGCAGCTTTCGTGAAGTAGTTATGTATTTTTTTTGCACTGTACAATAGATGTACTCTTTCTTCTTTCCATTGTTAGTGCTTTTGTAGGACCCGCACTGGGTGGATTTCTGTATGAGAAAATTGGCTTTGAATGGGCAGCGGCTATACAAGGTCTGTGGGCTTTGATAAGTGTGAGTATCCGACCTTTTATTTTCATTTTTCTTTTATTTGTTGGAAAACTTGACTTGGAGAATTTACATTAACTAGTACCTTTAATTGTGTTATAGGGATTAGCTATGGGGTTGTTTTACCTCTTGGAGCACTCAAGGAGAAAAAGGTATGATCAACTTTTAGACTTTTTTCTCCTTTTATGAGTCAGCCTTTGCCAGTAGAAAAGAAATAATGTTTTACATCTTTTCTTCCAGTCAGTGGGTTTCTGGGCACTCTGAGACTCATTGATTGGTAGATAACTTCAAGGAGATAGTTGGATAGAGATATGGGTACTGGGTTTTTTTGTCTTTTTTTTTTTTTTAAGATGAGGAATAATTAAGATTCTCCTCATATTTCCCTCAATGTAGATCTAATTCTCAAAACATCCCCAGCACAGAGGAGGAACGAACTGCTCTCTTGCCAAATGAGAACTAGCCTTGTGAATCCTGGACTGATACAGTGTTGGGAGGTGGATGCTTCTGGCCTTGACCATCACTGGTAGAAGGATTTTTTTAATTTTACGCACAGGACTCCTTGGATCCTACACCGGTGTCTTGGAAGTGTCTTGACCCTGTGCTGAGCTGCACTTAACTGTTGTCCTGAAAAGCTGGGCTGCTGGACCAGCTATATTCAAAACATTAAGTCTGAGAAGGGTAGTTGAAAATCAGCAGAAGTTTGTGTTTTTAAGTGACTAAAGTTGTCCTTGAAGATGTTATTGTTGACTCTAACTCTCTTGTTTCCTCTGTTTACTTTTTATTCTAAGCACATGGATTCTGTGAATGTACTTTTTTATTTACAGAAATAAGTGAATTGGTTTGATATACTCTAAATATGTAAAGATGACTCGGAATATATGGAATAATTACTATAAAATGTGTTTTTAAAAAATATGTTTTCTCTGGGACCTGAGATGATTGTTCTTGTTCAGAAGGCAAAATTCTTGTCTGCCATGCAAAAACTCTTCAACATTCTCCAGCCTGCAGTTTTTCTAAAAATTTGGTTTGTGTGAAAAGTACAAGAGTAACAATACGTACAACTTCCATTTTTGTAACCTACTTTTAGTTATGATCTGTGTTTATCAACATTACCTGGTATAACACTATTAATTTCCATTAATGTCTCTGTTTTTTCAGTTCTAGCATCTGTTTTGTTTTCATTTTTTTCCATATTTCTTGGTAGATATATTCCATCCCTAGGTGAGGTCACCCCCGATCTCCAATGCTTGCTTTGTTAGGGAAGTGCTTCCTCCACTTCATATGAAATCCATGCTGTTGTTCAAAGTGAGTGAATATCTATCATGCAACTCTCATGCCTCCTGATCTATTTTCTTGATGTAGTGGCCACAATTATAGTAAAAAATGTTTTTTATCATGTATTCATCAAGATTATCTTTTTTGGGGGGGGATCAGAGTCTCATTCTGTCACCCAGGCTGGAGTGCAGCAGCATGGTCACAGCTTACCACAACCTCAATCTCCTGGGCTCAGATGATCCTCCTGACTCAGCTTCCCGAGTCACTAGAACTACAAGCATGCACCATCACACTCATCCAATTTTTAAATCTTTTGTAGAGATGAGGTCTTGCTATGTTGCCCCGGCTGGCCTCGAACTCCTGGGCTCAAGCGGCTCTTTTGCCTTGGCCTCCCAAAGTGCTGGGGTCACAGGCGTGAGCCGCCACACCTGGCCCCAAATTATATTTTGAATGTGTCCTCTGGACTGACACGATGCTAAATGCTCAGGATTCAGTTTTGATCAAGATAAACACAATCTCTGTTTTTATGTAACTTACACCAAAGGAAGGGGCAAACAACAAACACTAGAACCTCTACCTTACAGAAAAGCTAAGAAGGAAAAGCCCTGGTGAGGCGAAAGAGTAGTTGGCTGGGATGGTTCAGCAGTGGGGGCCTGACGTGGACAAGGCCTCTCCGCGGAAGCGGAACCTTCGAGTTGCAGCCTGAAGGATGAGAACGAGCCCCCACGCATTCATTCCGAGGCCCAACAGCGTCCAGAAAGTCTTGCTGGGCTTGCCGTAACCAGAGATGAGGTGGAGGTGGGCTGACCTGAGTCCAGTAAACACGAGCTTGAAGAAGTGGGGAGCCTGCGGCTTTTAAAAGGGCGATGCCAGAATCGAATGGACGTGTCTGGGGGTCCACGCTGTCTGCATATGGACAGTGAAGGAGATGCTGGGAATTCGAAGTGGAGGGAGAGCTTTGGGAGCGTCGGGAAGACGAGAACGCTTTCAAGGACCAGGGAGGTGGTGGTGGAGATGGAGAGAAGAGGCTACGTCTGGAAGTGGACACGATAGGGCTTGCCGACGTGGCGGGAGGAGGGGCATCTAGGCTGACTCCTACGTGTTGGCTGGAGGGTGTGTGTGGAACGACGGGAAAGAACGGGAGCAAAGGTGGATGCTGGAGGGGCCAAGGAAAGCCGCGAGGGCGCCGTTTCACAGCCCCAGAAGGCAGCAAGGCAAAGTGGGAGGGAGGGTGACGACAGCAAGGGTTGCAGATGATGGCGCCGGGACCGGGGCACCGGTTGTCAGGGTTGGGTGCACGTCTGCCTCCGATCTCTTAGGCCCCTTCGACCTTGGACCGCCATGGTGTCAGCAGCGCAGATGACCTCTTCCCCGCCCGAGCGGGCACCCGGGCAGAGTGCGGAACAGGGCCGGGCTTCGATCGCCGTCATGGAATCGTCCTGCCCTCCAGGGCTCTTCTTCAGCGGCGACCGCTCCCGGCCGCCCGTGCTCGGCCCGTGGGTCCAGGCCGCCGCCGCCTGCAGTTCCCGCCGCTGCCGCGCGGGGCCGCTCTGGAGGCACGGGACCTCAGGATGGCCAGCTCAAGCCCCGAGGAGCCCGCGGGCTGCGGAAGGTGGAAGTGTCAAGGCCCATTCCAGACTCTCCACGAAGACGTCCGTGGTTCCCGTAACCGACACGCCGCTCCCAATACGTGGGATACACACGTGCTTGAAGACGTTTTGTACAAAACCAAATTTACCCCTTTCTTATTTTATGATTTTGCGTGTATTAAGATAAATGACAAAAGTGTTAAGAATATGAGAAAAGAGAGACAAGAAACCAAAAGGTCAAAAACTATCAAAGGAGATCTCTGTATTTTTATATTGTAATACATTTATAGTCTTCTAAAGGTACCCAGCTTAAAAGAAACTTCTTTTTTAAAATGAGAATTAAGGCCAGGCGTGGTGGCTCACGCCTGTAATGCCAGCACTTTGGGAGGCTGAGATGAGAGATTTGCCTGAGCCTAGAGGTTGGAGACCAACCTGGGCAACATGGTGAGACTTTCTCTCTACAATAAATTTTTAAAAATTGACCAGGTGCGGTGGCACGTGCCTGTAGTTCCAGCTACTTGGAAGGATGAGGCGGAAGGATCGCCGGAGCCCAGCAGGTAGAGGCTGTGGTGGCTGTGAGCATGCCACTGCACTCCAGCCTGGGCAGCAGATTGCGATTCCAATTCAAAAAAAAAAAATAATATTTTTTGGACTTGAATGTGGAAAGTTTTACTAATAAATAAAAGTATAAATTTTATGTTAAGATTGTATTATAACCCATACATATATGATATAATATACAAATCAATCTAAAGAAAAAATTAAAAAGGTAAATGCAAATCACAGGTAGTTTTTTTAAAACTTTTAAAATTTGGAGATAATTGCTGATTGACCATGCAGTTGGAAGAAGTAATATACAAAGATCATATGTACCCTTTCCCCACTTTTCCTCAGTGGTAACATCCTGCAGAACGATAGTGCATTATACCTAGGACATAGAACATTCCCATCATCCCCCACGTGACCTTGGATAGCCACACTCCCTTCTCCCTCACCTCACTTCTGGCAGCCATTGGTATAGTCTCCATTTCTATAATCTAGTCCTTTCAATAAATGTATAAAATGGAATCATATATGTGTAATCTTTTGGGGTTGGCTTTTTTGGCTCAGCATAAAGGCCTTCAGATTCATCCACCTTATTGCGTGTATCAGTAGTTCATTTCTTTGTGTTACTGAACAGAAATCCATGGTGTGGCTATATGGCATTTTGTTTATTTACCTGTTGAAGGGCATGTGAATTATTTTCAGTTTATAATTATCACAAGTAAAGCTGCTATTAACATTCGGGAGAAAGTTTTGTTGGAATACAGCTTTCATTTTTCTGGAATAAATGCCTGGGAGTACAACTGCTAGGTTATATGGTAGTTGCATAATTAGTTAGTTTGTTTTCAAATAACCCATTTATTTTAGATAGAAAACTTGGTTTTGACAATAAATATTAAATATATTAATGAAATATTATTGTATTTACGTGCTTATTAAATTCTCAAGATTTAAATATGTTATATATACCCTCTCTAACCCAGCTGGCAAAGAGGTGGATAATAAATTCTCATATAGTCAACTGATTTTTATTAACTAAAGTTAATAATTGAGAAGTGTCTCTATTCATATGCAATCCTATCACAAGGAAATATCCATAGACTAGTCCCATGATGGTCATCTTTTCTTTGGTACCACTGTCACATGTCCCTGTTTGATGCAATAAACCCACAGGCTAGTACAGCTCTGAAACAACATATTTAGATGGAAAAAAAAATATTTAAAGTACTAACAAAGGAAACTAAAGTCTGTGTATCCAGTCTATTAAGAACAACTTCCAACTCTTAAATATTTGGACTAGTATCTTCCAGAAAACCCACAGCTCCACTTCTAATCCCAGTTTATTTATCATTGAGTGTTACAGGGGCAATCAGGGAAAGCAAAATGTAGTAATAGCTTTTGACTTATAGTTAGTGCTATTTTATCATCAGCACTAAAATAAACAACTCCAAGTGTGTTTCTTGTTGACAACACATCAGCAACCACATGACAAATTACAGAAAGCAGTGAGACAGGAGAGAGCTAGAGAAAGGCTAGGCAGAGAGACAGGAGAGTCCCCTGGCCTGGTGGGCCTCTCAGGTTCAGCGTTGGTAAACAAGCTCCCTGCGAGCATCTCAAGCTAGAGCTTAAGTACTCACTGCTGGGGTGTAAAAGCAACCAATCAGCTCACCATTAGGCCCCTACCTCCTGCCGATTGGGCCTTAGTACTGACCAATCAGAATAGCTAAGTGCGGACCAATCAGCTCACAGCTAGTGCTAGCCAATTGGCTTGGACTTAGGGTTATATAAGCACCAGGTTTTGCCCCCAGATTGGCAACCCCTTTGGGTCCCGTCCTGCTGGTAAAGCGTTTGTGTCCTCTCAACAAATCCAGCTTTTCTCGCTCTCTTGCTTTCTCACTGTCCATGCCCCTCATCCTCCCTGGGCATGAGACAAAAACCTTGACCCTGAAGAGCTGCAGAAGATCATCAGAGTCAAAAAGCTGGGCACCCCAGAGGCTGGCTTACCAGCCATTGGAGCTGGCTGAATCTGGAGAGCTGCTGGAAGAAGGTGAGACTTTGAAGCTGAGACACCCAGGAGCGGGGACAGGGGCGTGGGGGGTGGGGTATAGGCTTGCCAGCCCACTGAACTAGCAACACTCTCAGGGCTTGGCTTGCTGGCCCATTAGAGACACCACTTCCAGGGCTAGGCTTATCAGCCCCTCCAGACGGCCCTCTCTGTGGCATGGTTGGCCGACCCTTTAAGCTGACACTCGAAGCCCAGGCTGACCTGAAAAATCCGCATCAGCAAGACATTATATCGTTTGTAAATTTTCGTCATTCAAGACAAAAATAAGCTATCAAATCAGTTGTCAATGATTGTATATTCCCAACATGACAGTCATGAAACCAGTTTTTGGATAAATACAGGTAGGTTTTTTTTTTTTTTCTTTTCAGGGATTTAAAACCAGTGTA